TTTAAAAAATTATGCAACACTGAAAGGAGATTTAATCTAAAACTGTGATAACATTATATTGGGAGGATGAGGAAAGGTAAAGGAAAGATGAATTAGCACTAATAATTCTAGCTATCATAATAAACAAATGACCCCAAGCATGTTAAACTGAAGACAGCATATACATGTGCATGTAGTATTTAATAGGAATATTTTTTAAAGCAATCAATCAAAAACAATTAAGATGCAAAGTGAAAATGACTAAAAAACATGAGACAAAACAAATCAATATGTAAAGAGCATCTTAAGTAGAAAAATCTTCCAACACCACACTACTACCCTATACACACACAATCCCAACAATTACCGACCCCATTACTGTTGGTCTATGAAAGTCAATTGTCAAAATTAATATTTTTAAGCAAAAATACAAGGACAAACTACCAATGGGAATGTAAACTTTTTGCAGAGCAACTTGACACTATGTTTCAGAGCATATCTGGCTCAACCTTAAGAGTATGCATACCTTTGCACCCCAAAATTCCATGTATAGGAATTTTTCCTAAGGAAATAACTAAGATTTCACATACAAAGTCACTTAACTCAAAGGTGTTCTCTGAAAAACTAGCTAAAACATTTAAAAGTTGGGAAAAACAGAACCCTCCCCAATTAGAAAAATAGTTAAATTATGTAACACTAAGAGAATGGAGTACTATGCAGCCATTAAAAGCCATGTTTTAAAGATGGCAAGGGAGGGAGCAAATCATTAAGATAGGAGGAAAAGACTCTTAGAGGGAAGGGTAAGACTGCAAATATGAATTTAAGTATGGAACTCATGTATGGGAAATAGTAACTTAATTCATCAAGTTAACTATTTGAGAACAGTGGACAATAAGGAAATACCTGGGATATAAATGTACCACATGTACTATTGAACTTATTCACCTGCATAGTACCGTGAAGTAGGTAAAAAATGTAAGTTTGGGGAACCAATATTCAAACTCAGCTCTTTCATTTCCTACCAGACAATTTTGAATCTGAACTTCAGCTCCCTGTCTATAAAACTGAAATATTACCTTTCAGAATACTATCATGAAGCTGGGAAAAATTATGTATACAGAGCACAGTGCACATTTGTATCATGGTAAGTACTAACAGTAGTTTTTTGTTATGTTAAACCACTATATAGAAAAAAAATCAATTTTACAAAAGTGTAAAAGTATAAAAGTACTGTTAAAGATTTGCTTGGTACTTATGTCTAGGTAATTGTCTTAATTATTTACATAAATAAGCATGTACTATGTCAGTTTATTCACTAGTGAAGTAACACATTTCAGCCATACCCAGAATTGAGAACATAATCATATACTGCCTCTTACTGTTTCACAGGAGAATTGATTGTTCTGGGATAATGTAAGCTAAAATTATTTAAAGGATAGAATTTATGCTTCTGTTTCATTTCTATCGTTAGCCGTCTTTACAGTTCTGCTCATTTTAATTGTGAGAGTGGCATTTTAGTTGCAGGTTTTGATTATCCTGATATATTAGTCAAGGATTTACCCAGATCTACAAAAACAAGAAAACTAGACCTTATCTTTTAGTTTAGACCTAGTACTCTTTTCATTTACATCTCACTGTTTCCTCTTTTTGCCAGTTCTTTATAAATGTTACTGATAAACATTTTCACTTATTCATTTCACAGTTCCAATGTGTAAGAGCCTCTACAGTCACTATGTATAAGCTATCTAAATACAGCTATTGGAAAGAAAAATGATGGTGGAGAAATAATTATGTAACTGAAAAGACTTATCCTTTTTTAGAGGCCCTTTGGAAAATGGTATCAAACTACATTTACATGGAACACTTTCAGGAAAACATTGCATAATTTTATTCTCCTAAGTAGGTATTATATAAATGAGGTTCCTGAGATTTAAATAGAATGAACAGCAATTTTAGCAAAAGCAGCAAGGAAGACAATGCTTTTGTACTAAATTAACATTACAAGTTTGTTAAAGTGAAAAGGACTGGCTAAAGCTCACAAGTGATTTCCAGTACGGAGGCTTCTTGATGGATTGATCACCATTACTGCTGACAGCACTTTTAAGGGTAGACGTCATTACTCAGCACCTATTTTTGCCAACAGTCAGTTACTAGAAATACAGTAATTGATATGCCACTAAAACTTTTTCTGTATGAAAAAAACTTCCAGTTATTATCACTAGAGAAAAACAGCTTCTACTTAATGGTACACACTTTTCATTTATCTCCATGAGAGAACATAACTAAACAAATTGACAAACACGTCATCACCTCCGGAAAAAATAAAACAAGAACAAAATTTAAGTTAAACAAATTTTTTTTTTGCTTGGTTTGAGCAGGGTTAAGAAGGAACAACATGTTAAGGAATGTTATAGTTGAATCTATGCCTAAGGTTACCATGAAAATGTCTTCCTGAAGGTAGGGAGGAACACAGATCAGACGCAAGATTGCTTCAGATCCTTTAATTTCCTAACTCTCATTGCTCAGAAAAGAAAGGAAATATTTACTGAGCATCGTCTATGTACAATCTACTTCAGTGGGATTAAAATGAACACGTTTAAGATATATTTCCTACAACTAAAGATAAATTTCAATGTTAGACTTGCCACTAGAGGGAGTTTATCTTGTTCAATTAATTCAATTGAAGGTTGAATGGAAGAGCCTCAGGTTAAAATTGTCATGTACTGATGCCTAAATTTTATGGAATTGTATATTTAAATGGGCATCTTATCAATAATCCTATACTAATTTTATACCATATTTTCTCTTTAAGTAAATTAAAATGGCTTTTCTCTTAAAGGATCAAAGTTAAAACTCAATAGTATTTTCAGCTCAAACAAGATGTATTTTTTTTTTTTTTGACAATGTTGGCATATTTTACACCTCATTAGCTACAAACTACTAATTTAACTAAAAAAACTATATTAAACTTAGTATTAGGTTTAATGGTCACATTCCTAAAATGAACTTTGATTCACTGTACTATAAAGCTAACCATTTTTCATTCTGGTAAAAATAATTTGTAAACAATTTCCTGTGATTTTGTAAATGCCAGCAGTAGGCTTTTCTTACTTCCCAAATGCAGTGACATTTTAAAGCATTCATATGACCAGAAGTAATGCATGGTGCTCAATAAAGATCTGACAAACATCTATACTAACTTAATAAAATAAAACAAGGGTGGTGTGGAAATACTTCAGCAACACTGTATTGCAAGAGATTATTAAATGCAAACATATTAAAGTCTTAGGAAGTATACTAAAATATTAAGATAATAAAAAGCACATCTGACATAAATAAAAGGAAAATATAATATGCTTAAAAGGAATATCTTTAATGAGATGTTAACTAAAAACTCAAAATGTTAAACTTTACAGTGAATACAAAAATATGGCATTTGCCTTTTTTCTTTTTAAGTCATCTTAGGTTCTTAAGTTACTATGTTACTGACAGGAACACAGTAACTTAAAAATCCATTAGGGAGATCTTCACTTATGATTATACACATAAAACCTATGATACCTACATTATAAATTATCCTACGTGTGCAATAAATACATAAAACGGGCATTTGGGATGCCTCTCAATTTTACCCTTCAAGAACAAAGTCAAAGTAGACAAATACATCTCCATATAAGAAAATCACTCTACAAAATCCAAGTTTCCAAATCAATGTCACAGAACTGCCAAGACAGAAAATTGCTTACTCGGCAGTATTACTAATGTCAGACACACTCCTAATGTAAGACTTCCAAATTATAATCGTTCGATTTATATTATATATATTTATATCTTCATCCTCTGTTAATGCTAAATCTAGATCTGAAGAACTATGATCTTCAGACTGAAATTCTAAAAGGAATTTAAAACTCCAGAACAATGAAACTTTTAACCAGTTAGTGATTTTAAATATCAATCTTGAACTTTTATTTTTCTGATTTGAATTTGTGACCTAAATTAAGTTTTAAGCAGAGTGCATACTTCTGATTGGCTCTGAATAAACCTTTAACGTATTCTTAAAATTGTCTGGGAAAACTTGAAAAATATAAAGCAAAGTAACTCAGAGATAATGGCCAGAAATAAACACATGAATACAGCAGACTCACCAAAGTAAATCTGTCTCAAGCATGGATTTGTTTTTGTGAAAAAAATAATAATTATTTGAAAGTATTTGCCCTCTTACTCAAATATCCCACCAAAACAAACAAACAAACAAACAAAAAATCTGTTTGTAATCACTCTATTAGAATTGACAAAACTTTGGAGTAGGAGGGAAAAGGAATTAGGGAAAGTTACCAAGAATGAAAATGTCCATTTCACTAATTTCCAGTTTCAAATCTTTTACCTTGCAGAGCCTAAAACTACCACAAAAGTGATAAGCTCTCCAAAAAGGTAGCTCAAAAAACAAATTCCCCCACTATTTATCTTGCCCACTGCACTCACTCATACCTGCTACCATCTCTCTATATTTTACCGATATGGTCACGTTGAGTACTACAAAATCACTTCCAAAAAATACCTTCGGAGGCACTCAGCCCCTTCTTGCAGGTGGTGGTGCTCAGCTCTCTGAAACACCTTGCCCTGCCAGGAACGAGAATTATGACCGTCCTCTAACCTAACCTAAGAGGGTATTAAAAGTGGAAGGGGATTTCAAGTCGGGTTATGTTAACTAATCCACCAGCCCCGCAGGCAGACCTGACCTGTCAACAAATTAGGACCACGGGAGAGAAAACAGCTGCAAATGGGAGGGGGTGTGAGAGGGTGCCTGTGGCCGGGACTGGGACGATTTTAAAAATGCAATGATTAAAAATGTAAAAATCCAAGGCCTGAGTGTCTCGACCCGGCCCCGAATCTCGATTCCACTGTGTCAGGAATGGACCTAATCCCCAGACTGCGGGATTTGGGGACAGGGTGGGGGCGCCTCCCGCACCCGCGTGCCTGAGCGTCCAAACTCGCGGCGGAGACGCGCTCCGGACACTCACGTTTTCTGCACGGGCTTCCGCCGCTTGCGACTGGCGTAGGTGATGTTGGCGCTGCTGCCGTTCATGGTGCCCAGGCGCCGGCGACTCCTCCCCGGGCGCGGGCACCGACCGCCCGGTCTCCGGGACCCGCGGCGGCACGGACGACGGCGGCGGGCGCCGGGTTCCACGAAGCCGCGCTCACTCTACCGGCGTCCTCCCGGGCGGTGGGAAGACGCTGCACCCTCTGAGCCTCGGGCCCCGCAACCCCGCGCGTCCAGGTGCGCTGCCCGGGCCTGGCGCCGGAGGAGGGGGAGGGCGGCGACGGGCGGAGACCGGTGAGCGAGGCGGCGCAGGTGCCTTCTACAGCGGCGGAGGCGGAGCGGCGCTGCCCGCAGGTGAGCCGTCCCGGGGGAGGAGGAGTCTGAGCCGCCTGTTTGGAATCCCAGCCTGGGTCGCGCGCGGTGGCGCCGCGCCCCGTGACCGTCGCCGCGGCCCCTTGGTTTAGGGAGGCGCCGCTGCGCCGCTCCAGGGGCTTCCCCAAACCTCGGGCGTTTGCCGCCCGTAGATCTCGGGTTCTGGCCGCCACTCCGGGTGCCACTGGCGTCCGCTGGGCTATGCAGCTGCCCTTGGTCCGAGATGGTGGTCCAGGGCACGCTCCCGGACCGAGCGTCAAGTGGACCTTCCCGCACCGCCTCGCACCGCCGCGCGCACCAGCTGAATAGCAGAAGCGCCCCCGACCCTCTCCGGCCCCGCCCCGCTCCCTATAGCCCCGCCCAGTCCCTTATAGCCCCGCCCCGTCCTCGTCGGCCCCGCCCTGTATTAGTTCCCTTGAGGGCCCCACCCTCCCGATACGTGATGACGACAGACGTAACGACGGCCCGCAGTAGCCATCTTCTTGAGGTCAAGGGTGTTTTTATGTCCAGAGTTCCAGCCCAGAAAAGGGTATGACTACAAATTGTGCGTAGCCAAAGTCTTTTAGCTACACTATCTAATAGACGTGCCAAGGGGGGACCTTACCTTCCCCTGCGTGAGAGGCAGTGACTCACCTAACTTTTAGCTGAGGATTCATCACAGTAGCTGGCAGACAACCAGAGGGGCTCCACATTTCTCCTGGAGGGGAAGGCTTCCGAAGGCCACATCTGAGCTGGATTTAAAGGCTAGGGGTTGCCTTGGCTTTTTTTTTTTTTTTGTCTTTATACTAAATAATAATTTTCACCCAGCCAGAATAACTTTTGCTTTTCTTAGATTTCAACTAGATTGGAAGGAAGGAAGCAAGAAAGAGGGAGGGAAGCAGGAGACATTGGGGGATTAGTAGTCTGATAGAGCTGGACAGAGGAACTGGAAGTGACGTTCAGGAATTTTAGGATCACATCATAAGGCCTGGATAAAAGGCCTAGATTTTATTCTGTAGGCAACAAAAGCTTTTTAAAGATGTTTAGCGGGAAAATGACATTCTGGTGTCGTGGAAAAGTTACTCTGGAAAGAAAGTGCGAACTGGATTACCGAAATCAAGGCTTTGCAGGGAGAGTCGTTAGGGAGTTGTTGAAGTAATGCGGGTGTACGTCCACGGAAGTGTCAGTGGGGTGGAGAAAAGACAGAAAGCATAGATGATGGGAAGGAATAAGGAAACAGAGGAAGAGAGCGATCTTAAATGGCTCCGAGATTTCTGACTGTGCTGTCAACCAAGATAATGAACACAGAAGAGTATGTTTGCTTGTCAGGAGTAAAAGGGCATCCAGGTTCACACCATATCCATTCCTAACTTTTAAAATGTCTTTAAGCCATTTCCATCTAGTACATTTGTTACCTCGGATTCAGTGCATCAATAAATTAAACTCATTTTCTTCAGCTGAAACTTTTTCATTGGCTCCGCCATTCTCCAAATCAACCTATGAATCATCTTCAACTCCTCTAGAACGTATATCTAAATATTCCAGCAAAAACTTTAAATTTTGATCTTTGCAGTGTTCATAATTCATCTCCTTTTGCCTTATTCTTCAATGATATCAGAGAGAGCGTGCCCAGCTAAATACCGTACCATTTGGGATTCCTCAACCGAAATTATCACCTCTGCACATTAATTAAATCAAGAGATGTTTTGGGTGGTAACTCCAGTGTGCCAGGAGTTGTGCTAGTACTAGAGAGGCAGTGGTGAACAAACACAGAAATTGACCATACTCTTGGGGAATACTGCAATGGAGAAATACATGATTCAATATGATTTTTCTAGTAGATAAATTGGACTTACTCATTGAGGTGAAAAGAGGCTTTCCCCCAAAATCGATGATTAAGATGAGGTGTGAAGGACAACATAGGCTTAGCTAGAAGGAAAGGGGGAAGAGCATTCCAAGCCCCAGAAACAAACAATGCCCTTTAGGAGGCGGGAGGCTAGCAGGTACAAGGGACTAAAACAAGTTCAGTATGATCAGGGGAGAAGGACACACATGATCATACAGGTCTTTAAAAAAATAACACCATATCTGGGAGGAGCCGAGTGGAATGGATGAAAGGAATACTCCTTAGGAAATCATTTGCAGTAACCCAGCCAAGAGATGGCAGTTATTGATACTATGGTGGAGGTGAATGTGGACATGAAGAAAATTGAATAGATTCCAAAGATATTAGGGAGGTCTTGGAAGATGGAGTGGATATATGAGAGTGAGGAAGAGAATATGTCCAAAACATACATTTTCTGGACTATGTATCTGGCTATGTGATAATGGCACGTGTTGGTGAGAAATGGTTATTTTAGCTTTGGATCTCTTTGGTTTGAGGTACCTTTGAAACATCTAAAAGAAGAGATCAAGTAGACCACATCATATACAGGTTTGTAACTCAAAGAAGATGTATAAGCTGGAGATAAATTCAGAAGCCATTTGCATTTAGGTGACCAGAGCATGAAAGTTATAGGATGTGAATATATATACTAGAAAATAAGGACTGGGCCCCAAAGAACTTTAATATGTAATATCTAATAGCTGGATAGGAGATGATGGTCCTGCAAAACTGACTGGAAAAAAGAGTTGCTAGGATGGGGACAGGAGAATAAGGGGAGCATAATGTCAGAGGATAAGGTAGAAAAATGTCAGGAGTAGTTAACAGTATTGAATGCTGTTGGGAGGTTCAAATAAGATAAGAACTGGAAATGTCTTTTTTTGACTTCTCAATCTGGCATCATTGGTGGCTTTTGTGACACTATGTTGGTGGGCTAATGGACCTGCAATTCAGATTGAAGTGGAAATGAAATGACATTGGCAAACACAATTTCTTTTTTTTGAAAAGTTTGGCTGTGAAAGAGAAAGACCTACGATAGTAGCTAGGGGGCATAAAGAGTTAAATTGGCTGTTTTTTTGTTTTGTTCTGTTTTTAATTTTTTTTTTTAATGGGTGATACTTAGGCAGTTGAGAGAGAGGAGAGAAATTGAGCTTTGCTGTGTAAGAAAGACGAGGCGCAATAAAGGAACCACAGATATTAAAAACAGGAGGGAATAGGTACCAAAGCACAAGCATAGTAGCAGAAATAGCTCATCTACTGCTCTGCTCTTGAAAGTGGTCCACAGCTTCTCATGGGAGTTATAAGAATCTCTGAGCCCTGGCCGGTTTGGCTCAGCGGTTAGAGCGTGGGCTCGTGAACCAGAGAGTCCCGGGTTCGGTTCCCACTAACGGCATGTACCTCAGTTGCAGTTTGTCCCTGGCCCCGGTTGGGGTTGTGTTAGTGGCAGCCACTCAATGTGTCTCTCTCACATCGATGTTTCTCTCTCTCTTTTCCTCCCTCTCTCCCGCTCTATCTGAAGATAATGCAAAAAAAAAAAAAAAGAATCTCTGAGTGTCCTTACCGAGTCAGAGTCTAACTTGAACAAGATCTCCCAGGTGAGTCAAATGTACATAAAGTTGAAGCTGGAGAAAAGGACGGTGGTGGGTGAAATGTAGCAGACTGGTAATTGAAGATCAGAAAGATGGAGGAGATGTGAGGGTATTACAGCATGAGCTACAAAAAAACAGGTGTGTTTTGTGGGTGATGGTTTTGTTTTATATTTTAGCTTTTACGAGACTAACAAGTAATAGTCATCTGGGAAGTGGCAACCGAGAACCAGGTGGACATCAATGTGTGGTGTCCTGGATGTGTGGTAAGGGAAAATATTAGGCACTGTTTGGGAGAACTTCCCAAATGCTAGGAAATGGTAGTCCCAGAGAGAGCCAGCTTTCGGTTTAAGGCAAAGATGGAGCAGCTGCCCAAGGAAGTCAGTGCACACAGAGGAGATCGCTGTTTATGGATTATCAATTTCAGGGTCACAAACAGCTCCATCTTACCTTCTCTTTTATTTCATCATCTTTATATGCATATCCATAGCTATCTGCCTAAAAGGTATAAAGTGTAAACAAATTATTCCCTTCTAGCATGGGAACTTTGAGTGGAAAATGCATATCAACACCTAATTTATTGATTCTGTAGCTTTAACTTCCTTTTCAGAAAAAGGTTATAGCAAATATACTGAATCCCATGGATTGATCTTAAATCAGTGATTTTTTTTATTTTTATTTTTTGAATGTCCACCTTTTTAAAGGTTTTCAGTTACTTGGTACAATCACTATCTTGTTTTGTTCGTCTGCCATACTCTTATTTTCTGTTTGACTTCAGGATTATTTTCATTATTCAGAATTATATCTCGCTTTGTCACAGTCCAATCTTAGTTAAGTATTCTAAAAATAGAATCATGGTACGAGTTTTAGAATTCATTTTATTTGAATAGTGACACCATTTTGCTTAGTATATCAATAAAATTAGTCTTTGTAGAATCACGTCATCAAAGAGAATGAGTTGCCACTTTTAGAAACTGTTACTTTCTACTCCTAATATCACCATTATTGAGCATGGCTCTCGAAGTGTGCCTTGTGGTCACTGCTAAGGCTTTTACATTTTCTATTAGCCGTTTTCATGTAGTAGCATGGTTTTTCTTATAACAATTAATTTGCCTATCAGACTTTATGAATACTGGACTGACTTATCCAAAGCCACGCTATCCTTTTATTTAGTTGAGGTGAGATTACTTTCTGAATCTTCAGATGCATTCTGTCTCTGGGTTTCTTTTCCATGCTAAATGTTATGAGAAAAAGAAATAAG